ACTCAAATAGGCACAAAAAAGTGCTAAGTATCTGATTAGCGGAGAAAAGCAGCAGAAAAAGCAGTCCGAAATGTTATAGAGAAAGATAACATAGTGGCTACTAGCTAGTAGCTAGCAGCCGGTGAGGGTCGGCATGGGCCTAAGGGGTGTCCATGGGCCTAATTAGTCAGCTTCTAGCGGAGTTCTTGCCGTTTTTCACATTTTGAAAGTAGCGCAGCCTCAAAAATCGCCTTCCGGATCGTCCGACACATTTGAGAGGTCATAGCCTTATTTTATCGCGGAATGTGCCTTTAAGGGGCGCTTCTCTTCAAAAAAAAATCACAAACTCACCGGTAATTGCCGGACATCTAACAAGAATCCATTATAACTCCATCCTCCAAATTTCAGTGTACATGACTGAGAATCGTACGGAAAGTATTCAATATTGATTGGGCAGAACGATTTGTAGATACTGGGAGGCTTCCACACGATCAGTCCGTTGTGATAGACCAACGCATCGCTCATAATAGTGATGTGAGGCTCACCATCAGCACTAAAAGAAAACGTGAAAGGGTCTCTGTTGGTGTTGACGGCAAGCGGTTGCTAAAATCGAGGAGTTTTAAGACGCAGTCCGAGCTCATCGTATGGGCGGAGACAAAGAACGGTTGGAACCTCACTCGCTCTTGGCGCCCTTTCTCTTCCACGGGACCACGATCACTAACGAGTGAGGCACAGTGATCAGAAGACTCCGCCCAACAGGGCTGTTGCGGAATGTGCTTCGAAATGAGACAGGACGAATTAACGCGCCATCCAGGTAGTCGCAACGGACGCGAACTCCGTGGAATAGAATTTTCTCAAAATTCAGCTTTACTTGTCGTAGGCTTTTTAGGCGCCTCCTTTCATTTCACAGCGACCCTTTTTCATGTTCTAACCTTAGAAAAGGTGAATTCAGTACATATAGGATGGGCTGGACTATAATATTCGCTTTTCCGCAAGAGGGCATCACATTGAAAATACACACTCTCGGTGGGTCGTATTTCTTCCTTTTGTGCAGGCATAGTCTTCAGCAATCGAACTGTGGGGGCCGGTCAGTGTGACGTAGATTTACGAACGGCGCCAGCTCATTTTCCACCAATCATCGGTCCACTGCCTGCTCATCTGACAGTGACTCTTGGAAAACGAACTGGCGCCGCGCCAAAATCACGTCACAGTGACACGCACCGAAGATTCGATTGTTATGAACTGTAGTCCGGTCTGCAACTTCGGAGCTTATTCCACTTCCGCTGGCTCGGTAGAGAGTGAAGAGGGCGCTGCCGTCGTCATAAACCAAAGGAATACAACCCGTAGAAATTGCCTAACATGGGAGGGAGGGGGGGGGCTACATCTTCAGCGGTGCTGTATTCAAAACACAGATGTGACCCGCTTATGGGGGGACCAACCCTACATTTCTCTCGTTTCCTGTTCTCTCCTCTTCTGAGTCCGACCTCTCGCCTGTGCAACAGTGTCTCGCTCCTAGAAAGGCCGTCCAAATCTGATGCTTTGGAAAGAGAGCCTTTGGCAGTTCTGTCCATTCTTTTCTTACTGGTAAATTAAATAGTACCTGCGGCTTCAATACTAGACCCCAACGCGCACGAATTGTTACCGTGGAATGTTTCTTCCAGGGCCAACTTTATATGTACTACATACAAAGTAAACCTTTGCAGTGCACTTTGTTCAACATCCACTCGCACGTTCTGTCTACACTCACAACGGGTTTATATGTCGGCCAAACTGTTTCTGTAGTTTCTCTTTTCGCTTCATAAAAAGAGAAAGGCTATGCAGTTCACCCAATCAGTTTGGAGCGTGTGATCACAGTGTCATGGGTTGTCAGATAAACTTGATTGCGAAGGATACAAAAGAAAGCGATCACATTAGGAACACTTAGAGCAGGTCATCCAGTTCCGCAGTTCACCTGTAGTGAACAATTACTTATTTTGAATGTGCAAAGCACCAAGTACAGTACCGAAAACAGAGCATGAATAAGTCAAAAACCGCTACTTCTCATGGCTTTGATATATGACCTGTGGTCTTCAAACCAATGAACCAGCAGATATTTATGAAATGCGATGGGCGTGGCCGCGTACTTTAGCCGAACTTGGTGGCGACTGCGCATTTGGCGGGATATTTTTTAAGCAGTTTTCGTTCAACCAGGACAATATGACGGTTGTCCCTAATTTAATTATCTCACGAACAGCGAACCCCACATCCTTTCAAATGAAGTATGCAGCCACGATATCGCGTTTTGGGAAGTAGGGTATAATCGCTTGGATGTCAGGGAACGGAAACCCTACTACAATTTCGAGCTCAAATTGAAGAAAATCCAACAATAAATTTTCACAAGAGGGCTATTCTTGTCCAGAGCTCAGGTTTTTTTTATCGGCTCGTCTGCTTATTTAGGGGGAAAGAACACGCAGAGCTGGGCTTCCGGAAAATCAGTGGAGATTTTAGCATGAAAAGTTTTTGACTTGCAGTTCTTAAAATTACTTCACCTATGCACGAAAATTGGTTTTCTACCTCGTAATGGCCAATTCATTTAGAAAGCTAAGCAGATTACTCTTTAATTTCATAAAAAAAACATATTCGACCTAAACTGGTTTCAAATTTCAAGTCATTTGCCGCGATTACGTGATTAGCGGTTTGCACAAACAGAGGTTGCCCCGCTTTCGTTTCTGAAGTGAAGTAAGGAACGAGAATGTTTCGGCCGTACCTTCATGAGGCCAACAAGAAAGCCACGTCAATGAGGTTTCGTCGTTTATCTGACGCGCGAAAATATACCTGCGGTCGTGTCATCACAGAAATCGGGTGTCTATCACTCTGCGTGTGATTCACCGATGATCGCTCCTGCCCATCCCAGTCCTTCTCCCTGGCCTCCGTTTTACGCTGTCCCTGTATCATCACCTGCGTCAGCAGTGACTGCACTTCCTTCGCTAATCGATCTAATTTGGCTCCTTATTCAGCAGTGTTCAAACAACTTATTTTATATACACCTTTGATTTCCGCCTAATAAGTCAATTAGCACAATCTAGTGCTTCATATGTCGTACAGTCCTCATTCAATTGCGGACCGGTGTGGAGCGTGTTAATGCGGCCCGGTTGGGCGTCAATGCGGCTGCGTTTGGCGCGGTGCCAAAGTCGTTCTGCACCAGTTGTTGAAGCGGGCAAGTGACATTACTGTATTATATCCTTCGTATTACTCGTTTTCTACCACTTTCGCATACGCGTTTCAACAAAAAGGCTGAGAACGGCTTCAACAGTGTGCACACTCATACTGGCTGACACGCCCCACCGGTCCGCAATGATGAGGACTGTACATAATCCTGGAACCCGCGAATTCTACTGAAGTATTATGATTTAAGGTCACCAAGAACCAACTTCAAGGCAGAACTTGTTCGAAAATAGGTACAGTCTTGATTTAGGTGTAGGTGCAGTCTTAATACCAGACTGTTCAAGGATATAGCTTGATGATTAGCGAAACTTAGAGATTCCTGAGAGGATTCCGCATCTTTGCTATATAAAATTACATAGAAATTGTAGCTCACAACTAGTGCTTCTTGACCCTTTTGCTACAAACTTTGGAAGTCCTGCACGCAGTTGAACGTTCAGATCGTCTTCCGTGACAACACAATATTCATACTTACTTGTTATAAAGTAGAATATCCGGAATCCAGATTTGATCCGATGGTATATGCAGTTTCTTTATGCCACCCCATCGAGTCGGTTCCCATGACAGCTTATAGTCGAACCATTGCATTTCCAGCCATAAATTGGTGGTCAAAACTTGATTCACTTCATCCTAAACAGATTACCACTTTCACTTAAAAAAATGTCGCAGTCATACTTGTACTGCAGGATTTGTTCCTGAAATTGTAGGAGTGTTTTGTTAGTTGCTAGTATTATGCTAGATTAATGTGGAGATGGTGTAGTGGCAAGTGGCACGCTCATCACGAGCGCACTCTGGTGATCCAATCCCGGCTACCGCCCAGGCCAAGCAAGCCTTCTTCCCTCCAGGAGCGGTAATGGTACCAGATTCGCCTAGGAATACATAAACACTGACCGCGCAAGTCATTGTATAGACCAGGTCTTATCCAGTAATCTACTAAAATTCTGAATGGAAGTGGAATGCGTGGCGCATCACAAAAACGATTAGCAACAACGAAGGTTTTATCCTTCTCAATAAGATCAAGTGCCTGTACGATTATTGCCAGAGTGGCTTCACATGCCGACTTTGATATCCTTCTTACCCTATTTGTAACATTCAATTGTTCTCTTAGTGAAATCATTCGAAAGTACGGGTGAAATGTTTTTGCTGAAAGGGTGAACGGGCGACGGGTTTTCTCTAGTGTTGCTGGGCGTTGCTGACCCAGTTGTTCGTTTCAATCACTTGTGCACTTGTCCGCACGATATAAAAAGAACCGATCAGAAGAAAGAGTGCGTTGGGCCTATTTCTAGACTCTGAGTACCTTTCGTGGAACGTTTTACGAGCCATTTCGTTTCACAATAAGGACAAACAGCTCGTTAACACATATGTAGTCCTAACGAGCCAAACTCTTCAGTCATCATTTCTTGAGAGGTTAGCACGTCTTTACCGATTTCTCTCAAACAGGCCTTTGTAAGGGTCATGAGGGGGTTTTCTTATTAACATCTTCCGCTGTACCTCTTTCCATCTATATACTATTTCTCTTTCTAGTCGGATTTTTTCATCTTTGAATTCTCTTTCTTGCTTATGATAAGTCTCGCTGTCGAATCGTCATGAACTGCTGTCGTTTCCTGTAGTTTTCTGGTTCGTAAAAAATCAAACCAGCCGATGGATACGCAGCAAAGGCTGGTCAAGCCTATATAGATCGATAGTTTTGTACAAAATGCGCTGAACAGTGCCCTGTGGCTATACGCGCTTTGAGTCTTGTGCGCTCACTCTATCGCTGACTGGTCTGCTACTAGTACCTTTCTGTAATTATAATTGGGATTACTGAAAAGATGCTCTGGTAAGAGAAAAGGATAAGGTTGTAGGTGCTGATATATTCGTTGATATATTTCCATTTTGGGGTTACCCTAGCTTCGCAAAGGCACTTTGGTTTGATTAGAACTATAAAGTAACTTGCAGAGCCAATCGATGAACCCAGCGTTCTTATCCTCTCCGACACGTCCAATACCAACTAATTGACTCGGGAGGCATATAGGCACGGTCCGCGGTGAAAAGCCTGGGTGATTTTGCAGAAATGTGGAAGAAAATTCGCCAAGTGAACCATCTCTGGGGAGAAAATGATAAAGGGAACGTTGGAGACCCATTCACCAAGCCTCCTTTAGCCTCAAACAACTGCAGAGGTAAAAGACCGAAAAGACCGTGCGCCTGAGACAGTTCCCGTCGGCTGATTCCCAGTAATGAACATTACGACTTTTCAAGAGACAATGAATGCATCCACTCCATGAGACTTGCCCGAGAGCATTACTTTTGGCGGGAACACCGACTCTGAAGGTGAAGTGTGGAGGCGGAGATCACTCGCGAAAAAGGGATGTACCACTGAAGCAACTTTGCGCCTTAAGGCCTTTACCGTACAACTTCCGCGAAACTGACACAGGGTTGTCCACTCCGGACCGCACTACCTTCCCACATAACCTCTTGCATTTTCATAGGTCATAGCGGACCGCTCCTCAAGTCGGTGGTCGAACGGGGAACGACCGAGGTTCAACTCACGGGTCCTCAGCTAAGTAAGCAGTGCCGTTCGCTACTACACCGCTTCTTTCCGTACTTTTGGTGGAAGCGTCCTCAATTTGAAACTTAAGGGAATTTGGGGCTAATTTATTTCGCGGATGTTCATATCAATAAATATTTGAAATTGGGCAGTATTCGGGGCTGTGACCGGAATGACCAGGATATGTAAGTAGTGCCGAAGTAACCCTTCCCTTGTTCTATTACTTTCGAGTCACCCGACTGTTTCTTACTCATAAGCACAATGTTCTGCTCCATTCGGGGCAATTCCCAGATAGGTCCCTACCCTCCAATTAATTGACCTTATTTATTCTTCCGAACATTATATGAAAATGACCAAATAGAGGGCGCAGTTCAGGACATCACTCGCAAACTAACACACTATTCCTTGAGTGTGTATCATCACTCCCGAGTCGCGGCGAGTGCGGCGAAGAGGGCGTTGCAAGCGGGGTTATGTGCACAGTAATCGTACTAGAGCCCACTTTACTCAACGTGGCAGCACGCGTCGCGTCAGCTCTCTCTCTCTCTCTCTCTCTATCTATCTATCTATCTATCTCTCACTGTCTTCCGAGTCAACTAACTAGGGAACCGTGCTACTTGGAAGTAACAATAAACACTGTATTTCCTAACCATTTGACTTGACTCTCCGCAGTACCAAAGCACATTATCGGTTTGTGGGACTTTAAACTGCTGTTTAGTGCGACCCCTCCCATATTTTCTTCGTCGGTCCTACACCTTTTACGACCTACCTCCCCTCTTACCAACTTTTACCAGAATTTGGCCTTCGAGCGGAGACAGGGAAATCTTGGGGGACGGATGGGCTAGATAATCTCGATCGACTACCAGAAACAATAGTTTCGCCGAGCAGCCAACAAGGGGCACACATAGCTCTTGAAATGGAAAGACTAGCCTTTAAAGTTCATCTAGGGTCCAACTGTGGCACTCGGTAGTCCTTTGCGCAATAATGTAACACCCTCACTCGGAACCACCAATTCATTGGGTCTTGATGCGAATGACGCGCATGCGAGACCACTTGCAACGCCTCTTTCGCCGTTCCAGTCTCCAGAGTGCTTAACTACACTGCGTTTCGTGAATTTCATCTCCGAATCAATCGATAATTGTGGTCTTCAAACGAACGCTTGTCATGAACAGTTAGATCTTTTTAGAATGAAAAACTGGAGCACATATGAAGCGATTGCTGCTGGGTCGATAACAGTATCTGTCGTATCTGTACTGATTCTTGCCGTCATTACTCCTTCATTACTGATAAAGTCTTTCAATGAAGCTCATAATATCGACTTTAGGGCAAAGAAGTACAAGGTAAAAGTTGGCACTTTAAGCATGATACACAGTAAAAATCGGGCGAAAAAAATTTAGGAGGATACGACTCGAATCTGGAGAGAGCTTCGACTTCTCATAGACACTGAAAAGAGTAGTGGAGAACCAATATTCTTTTCAAGATCAAGAAGAGCTCCATGGTCAGCAGGGCGTATAGAAGGGTGTATAGGTACATTTTGTTCTTCTTGGACCAACTATCCCAGGAACATAGGTGCGACTCAGCCCTGAGCAACAACTAATGAGGACTCGCTGAACAGGCTTACGGTTCATAGGAAATTTTTCAGGGTGCAACGCATTAACGTGCCCGCAGGGATTACCTGGTGCTCCTGGAGATTCCGGTGAGGACGGCCTTCCCGGGTTGCCAGGCAATCCTGGACCAGCCGGAAATGATGGCTTCGATGTGGAATTAACACCTGAGGACGATCTGCCATGCACAATTTGTCCCAGTGGTCCACCCGGACCAAGGTAGAGAATACTCCATGGATATATAACTTTCAAATAGCATTTTTTCAGAGGACCACAAGGTGAGAGAGGAATGCCTGGATTCCCAGGACTTCGTGGAGATGCAGGTGCTCCAGGAAATCCTGGAGTGGATGGACCAACGGGTCTGGAAGGATACCCTGGCCCACCTGGCGAGGATGGTCCTATGGGTAGCACTGGCCAACCAGGAGATACGGTCATAGCAGGTGTTGGAATCAAGGGTCCTCATGGACCTCCTGGACCAGTAGGTATGAAAGGAAAACCTGGGCCCGCAGGGAAAGCAGCAAAAGAGATGGGAGCGGCGGGTCTTCCTGGAGAGCCGGGCGAATCTGGACCTGCAGGAAACATGGGAAAACCTGGAGATGAAGGACCATATGGACCACCAGGAGATCCAGGTAGGTATCGTATCTTAGAAAATGAATCAGTTCTAAGTGGATTAATGATATTTCAATTTTTTTCTAGGTATGCCTGCTTCATACTGCCCTTCGGACTGCGGTGTATCTCACATTGTTGCACCTGTACATGAAATGAGAAAAGAAGACAACTATGTTCAAGACTACAGGCGAAAATTCAGTTAAAAATATTGCAGAGGCCAATAAAAATCATGTCACATATCACGTATCGGTTGCTGTATTTATTTTTGAAGCGTATCACATCAATGTGAAAGAAAAAATTGCCCGCTAAGGCTGCCTTCGTACTTTGCGGCAGCGTCCACCAACGCTCCGAGCGTTCGGCAGCGTCTCGATGGCTAGGGAAGTATAGGTATCGATCTAGCGTTCGCCAGCGCATACCAGCGTGCACCAGCGTTTAGTAGCGTTCGGGGAGGAGAGTATGACGATAGGAGGGGTAGCAGGCGACTGGTAGAGAATGGAGTGATAGGATGGTGGCAAAATGCTTATAGAGATTGTAGCCTGATAGGAGGGTAACACCTGTTTGCTGCTCTCCCATCGCGCTATACTCTTCTCTCAGGGATGCTGGAAGACGCTAGAGCGATACCTATTCTCTAGCTCTAGAAAGGCTGTTGTACGCTGGTAGCCGCTGGCGGACGATAGCGTAAAGTATGAACACGCTCTGATACCGCTTCTGAGACTATTCCAAATACGCACTGAAGAGAACTGCGCGGATCCCTCTTGAAATGAGTCGTGGTTAGACCGCTAGATAAAGGTCTATTCAGCGACTCAACTACCACCCGTTTCACTGAGGGTTCTTCTACCGTGACCAGTCAGGCTCTCTCGCTTACCTTTCTAAAAGTCATAACCAAAAAAAAGGTTGAAAAAGAAAAGATGACCGTCTGATGAAAACCCACCACATCGATGATACGAATGAGCGATGCGCCAAATTTCACTTTGATACTTTCACTGGCATTCTTGACCGGTCGTACATTTTTATTATAGTAGTAAAGAAGATCCTCATAGAGCTGTTCAGCATAGCGATTCGATTCCACAATGTAAATGATAGTGACTGAAATGAGTACAAGAGTTATGGAAATCATTTCTTTCCCCTTTTGTAAACAGAAATTTCTTCTCCTTCCTCCGGATTGAGGGAGAGTGGGGCATCCATAGCAGTGAGAGCTGAGCATCTACTCAAAGCCTTCAGAATTTCGTGTGCTTATGAGTTGCTTCATGCTGATTGATGGGTGCCATCGCACGAGTCAATCGCACTTCTACCCTCAGAAACAGATCCAGTGTGAGTTGGCAGGTTTCAAAGGATAAATGGGCATGAAAAACATGAGCTGAAATCGTGTTAGCTTTTCAACCACTTTGTGAGAGGTCTTCAAGCTTCACGGTGGTCCGAAAGCTCTGAACGTCTGATAACAAGATTAGGTCCCAAAATTTGTTTCGGAATGCTGCCAAAAACTTGTGCTGAGACAGCGTCAGCAACTAGTAATTAGATGGACTTTGTAGAGCAGTACTCATTCCATCGCCTTTTTTTGGGAAACTAGAAAATTTTCTGGGTGGTAGGAACTGGGAAAACTTTCAGGGACACCGTGTGTAGGTGGGATAGGTGTAGAGTTCGCAACGGATGACAAAGGAGGGGATCAGGGCAGGGCTGGGGAGGAACGTATAGACACCGCTATTTCATAAATCACAGTGCTGTACCCCGTGTCCACTATAGGGTGTATGGGGTAGGCGCGCGGCCAGATAGATAGGGTTCACGTCAGAGCTCGATTCCCACAGACAGAATGGACCGAAACGAAAAGGAAAGAAGCTGGTCATCAAATCATAATTGAAAACATGAGCGTAAAGTATTCAAATGTTTCGGTATTCAAATGTGTTTCTAGTCATTTTATCATCTTTCAACGACTTTGTGAACTATGAAAGGCAGGACAATTGTTACAATATAAAGGCCATATTGCGGACTTATGGCACTGAATTCTTCCTCGGCTAGCGGAACGCTCTATTGCTCTGAGATAAGCCAATAGGCAATCAAACCATTGACACACCTCATATCCAATGAGACGGAATGGGCGTGGCATTTGAACATGGCATAGGATGGGTTACTCGTAAGATGTTTCATTGTGAGGCAACTGCCATCTTCTTTTGTTTTAAGGGAAACATGATCACAACTGTGTCAAAATCGAAAAATCTCAGAAAAAGCTCAATCGCCGCCACGTTTAATTCGAGTCGGCAGCCACGCTTATTGCAGAAGGTACACTCTTGTTCGCTATGGATGATGAGGTGTGTTAGTGAGGCTGAGTACAGAGAACCGCCAGCCCCTTCTTCAGAATTTGTTGAAGCGCGTAAGCGACAACAACTGGTGTGAAGCGACTGATACGGAACACATGTCATGAATACAGTCTCATCTCCTGCCGAAAAAAAAAGAGAAGAAACGTGTTGGCGCTTTTCCAAAGTCATCTCGTCTGTGTCTTTGTCCAATACGGAACAAGATGACAGTTGTCTCAAACTGAAATATCCCACGAGTAACCCATTCTATGCCATGTTCAAATGCCACGCCTACTCCGTCTCAGGGATAAAGGGTAATCCAGTGGAGGTCCCAATGACTTTAATTGCCGACTGGCTCACCTCAGAGCAATAGAGCGTTTGGCTAGTCAATGAAGAATTCAATGCTATGAATCCGTTATATGGCCCTTCCAATGCGACAACTGCCCTGCCTTTCATACCTCCCATCATCCGTAGCGAACAAAGCGTGAGCCCATGCTGGCCACGTACAGCCAAACAAGCATGAGGCTTTAGAGGGAGTAAGTATGCATGGGCGAGCCAACAATTTTCCTTTCATGATATTCATCTTTTTATGTTTCCGTTTTGGATTGCAATGACACGGAGTTGTCTCACAGTGAACCTCAGTGACAGCTGTCCGTAATAGATAAAAATTGAACCTAAGAAAATCACTCACCGACAACGAATTCCGAACAAGCGCATAGTTTTCGTACGGTATTGGACCAATCAGATACTCAGCAAATACCCATTGAGCAATAAATAAAGTGTTTCTGAAGCAAATTATGAGAACTACGAGAAGTTGCCAAAAATCAGTAATAATAAAACGTCAGCTATGAAGAAAGGTAAATAACAATACCAAAAATCAGTGTAGTAAAACTAGTCAAGCATAAGCAGCGTAGTTTTTTATCACTAGTTAGTGCAATTTATGGATGATAACAAAAATATCAAGAGAAATCACTCTAAATCAGAATGCCAGCTGTTCGAAGAGTTCGATGGGCGATCGACGAAAGGTGCAACTGATCGATAAAGTGAGGCATTCGTCTGGCTGCTCAAATTTTCCGAGAATTTTACACTGAATAACTCACACAGGGTCTGCCCTATGCCAGTAACCGCCTTTATTAAAAACAGTTTTTTCAGCCAACCCAGAAGCGGACTAGTTGTGTAGACATAGCGTTCTCGTGAAATTCTCACAAAGCTTAGGCGCAAATGAGATCAGGGAATGGCAGCAGGGCGCTGGAGAATCGCTAAAGGCTAATGAGAAACAAGTGCTCGAAAACATGGTTCGTTACCTCCATCTCCTCTTCGGAGCAGAATATGCCATAGTATTGGAAAAAATAGCGGCCTTAATACGACCCCATCCACTGATGTCTCAGTGAAACTCCCTTAGCTTCCCTCCCATTCTACCTCTTCTTTTTCTACCAGGGCACGTTCTGGTGTTGGGGAACTTTTGCGAAAAAGGACAACCCTCGAAAATTTCTCCTCTTGAGAGAAACTCCCCATCCCATTCACCATAGTCCCAAATTTTCTCAAATTACTAGCATATCCCGGAGAAATTCTGCAGTTTATCTCCAAGAAAACGGTGGGGGTATATAACGTGCTTGAAACAGGAAAAGCCGATGATAGTCAACATCTGAAGGCACTCTCCTCATCTCAGAAGCTGAAACGAAGTTTAACTTCCTCCAGCGACCGAACACGACCCTCCCCCCCCCTCCCCGAGACCACGACACCTCCCTCCCCCCCCCCCCCCTTACGGGTGTCGGAAACTCAAGCGTACGACTTGTCGATTAGCCTTCTACGCCCATTACTCCTTATCTATAAGCTTCTCTGAAGTTCGAAGCATATGACTTGACCTTCCCCTCACTACCTTCTTAAAAGCTCCATGGAAAGCGCTCCTTGTTCTAAAAGTGATCGCTGAATTGGGCGTGGCGACGTCGGCCTTAGTTGCCTACAATACACCAGCCCAATATTCGCATCGAAAAAGAAACAAGCGAAAAAAACCGCGCGCTTCGCGTTTTTGTTTTCTTTTTTCGCTTACTAACTCATTATGTGTGAACTTTTACTCATATGAGAACCCTAGCCTCTTAGGCTCGAGAGCTCGGGTCGAATTCTATGAGCTCGGTATCCGTAGAAATACGCTGAGAAACCAGCTCGAAACACTTGAACTTGCTGTCCTATCTAAGTAAAACCTAAAGAACACGTCTGAGCCGACACTTGCGAATCTTCGCGTATAATGTGTTAACGGGAGGGTAATCGTTGGGGAATTAAATCATTCATTACTCAAATAACGTGCTGTATCGCGTAAGAATTGATTAAAAATTAGATAGCTGTGTTTCCGAGATGCTGCTGATCATTTTGGTGCCGATTTGAAGCAGAGGCGTTTTGCTCCATTTTCGGACGATAAAGCCCTTTCCACTCCAGAAAATCTCGAGGCAGTGGTTCAGTTCGGAGCGCACGAGCACAACAGGTCTAATGTAGGGAGCCCTGTTTTAACCAATATTTGCAAAATTCGCGATACAGCACGTTATTTGAGTCCTGAATGATTTAATTCTCAACGATTACCCTCTGGTTACAATTATAGCGAGACTCGCTCGCTAACGAGTGTCTTCAGGTACTTCGATAGGAGGCAGAGTTCAATTTTCGACTTTTTCAGTCTTTAGGGATACCAGCTCATTATGAACTCGATCGAGCTTGAGTTTCTAACGCGTTATAGGCCTCTACATGAGAAAAAATTTCACACAAATTGTCGACTAATAGCGAAAAAAAGAAAAAACATGAATCGGCGTTTTTTCGTTTTTTTTTTCGAACAGTCAGGGTGGGTCTTGTAGTTACTACAGTTGCCCATTTTTACGGTTCTCATAAACTACCCTCACAAGGGCCATTTAATGAAGACGAACCGAGACGACCGGTTCTGTGAGGGACATTCGTTGACGGCTTCCTACACTGCTAAAGACCAAAAAGCGACCAAGTTACTTCATTGCAGAAGTGGCTCTCAAATTGCTTCTTTTTTAAGAGCCCTTTACTTTACGTTTGTGAAATGAAGTAACTAAGTTATATTCATGAATTGGAAAAAAGCATGCGCTTTGAGGTTCCTTTTCGTTTCAAAATCCACGTCTCAGAGTTGAGCAGGTTTCTTAGTAAGGAGCTGAGTGGGATTGTGTGCTGCAGTGCTTGGAGCAAAATTCATAGGCACGAAGATGGAAGGAGCTACACGAACGTGTTTGTTTGTTTCTGTTGGCTGACATATCAAGGGTAGGGGTTGTATGGGAACAAGTGGTGCTTTACATGGTTGAGTATGTGGGGCTTCAGGTAGGAGCGGTGTCAGGAGTCACGGATAAAGCTCACCCATTGTGTGGTGTTTTGTCGTCTAACCAGTGGCTGTTCATCCTTGAATCGATTATTAGTCCTGACACTATTGTGGTTGGAATACACAAGCTGGCGCGTGGTTAGTTCCACTTACTTCTGGAACCTCCCTTACTGATGCGACGAGTGAACTAAATTACAACTCTCTTGTCAGAATCTTCATAGTGTTCACGCAGAAATAGAATATTCCATCGAAGTGCAAAGTCTAATCTTGCGGATACCTCGGTTAAAATATTGACCACAGCTTCCAGACAGTCGTCTGGACGTTATCGGCTGTAGTTTATCTCAATTTCAACCAGTCAGAATCATGCAGTGCAACAAGCGACGAGACTCTGACAGTCTTTTGTGGTACCTGTAGTCTCAAGTGAGTCTTTTGCCATTACCCCTCTCGCGAAATGCAAACTAGCACTATATTTCATAGATGCCGCGCCGGCCCGACACCCAGTAGCTAATT